ACCAATCAGCTGTCAAAAAGGCGGACCTACAGAAATGACAGGCATCAGCTGTCGTGAAGGCGGACCTAACAGTACATAAATGACCGGCATAGAGGGAGCGGGAGAGAGAGAGAGAGAGAGAGAGAGAGAGATCGAGAGGGAAACAGCCGGCTACAACCCTAACAATAGTTTCAGACACAACCGCAATATATTTTACTGGTGAATATGTCATGAAAAAACACTTTACAAACACAGTATATGTATATTTTTTATTAATTTAAACGGAAACCTATCTATCTAACTGAAACCATATAATTAAAAATGAGCGTCTGTGTCAGCACAGAGATCAAGCCTCTCATCGGAGAATGTGGATATTATGGTGTTTTTGAAGAAGATCTTTCACTAGTCTACACTGCAGTTATTTATTTAATTTTAGTTTACTTAGTTAAGATGGCTGCACTAAAGAGAATAGTTTTTTTTCTGACTAGTCTATATTGGAGGTATTTATTTAATTCTAGTTGTTTACTCGGGTATCCTGACTGTACTAAATATGTGATGACAAAGTTAATAAAGAAAAAGGTAAGATGTTCTTGTTATTAAGTGAATTGTCCCTTAGCATTGCTGTTAACATGACATCAACCCTAACCCCACAGCAAACAGAAACCGAACCGTACCGAACCGAACCGAACCGTGGCTCCAAAACCGTGAACCGAACCGAACCGTGCCTTTTGTGTATCGTTACACCCCTATTCACTTCCATTCATTTTTAGACATTAAAAACTGCTCGTTTCGCTGTTTGATGTTGCAAACTGATATTTCCTTGTTATATTGTTCTACTTGGTCTGTGTAGTCGTGCAAACATTTGTTTGTAGAGCAAGTAGTTTAACCGTTTTTTGCCGTTTATTATTCCTAGTAATTTCTCCCATAGGCGACTAAAACGGAAGTTCTAAGACAATCGCGAAAACAGACGCACTTCCACATTTAAGAATAAGGTCAATACAGCTCATGGTATAATTTTTTATTTATTAAAATACAAAATTATACTCGTATAAAATGCAAAATAAATATTTTTAACAAAACATATTTATTTATTTTTTATTATTTGAAATTTTTAATAAGGATAATTTCAAAAACATTTGTGGCGCCCGTATGCGCCGTATATACTGCATACCCCCTTTTTGCGCCACTAATTTTACGTATTATCAGTTTAGTGGCTAATTTGTACCAATTTGTACGTGTTTAGTCGTATGAAAATGTACAATTTTAAAAAGGAGGCGTGGCAGCTAACCCCACCCCTAACCCCAACAGTCATTGGGTGATGAGCAAATCGCACTAAATGGTTCGAATTAGATCGTACGGATTCATACGAATCAGCCACTAAATCAAGTTACGAATTGCTGTGAGATTGCGTTGGAGAGTGAGTGTGTATGGGTGTCTGACTGTGTCTTTGCATATGAGTTTAAGTGTGTGAGAGAGAGTGTCTGAGTGTGTGCCGGTGTCTGTCTCTCTCTGTGTGTGTGTGTGTGTGTGTGTGTGTGTGTGTGTGTGTGTGTGTGTGTGTGTGTGTGTGTGTGTGTGTGTCTGTCTCTGTGTGTGTGTGTGTGATTTTGCACTGATCTGGTGTGTGTATTATTCAGCGTCTTCATCCTCGCGTTGGTTACAGGATGTGTTTCCTCCTTTATTAATGTTCTCTGGGAGAGCGTCTCCATCCATCAGCACAGACAGACATCATTCACTCGCTCACTGTGCAGGAACTGTGTTTAGGGGAGATTATTATGGGCTGCTCATCATCTGACGGATGAAGGAGAGCAGCTGCAACACTTTAATATCAGCGTGTCTCTCCTGCACACTGACGAGGCTTTATTCTCCAACAACACTGTACACTGTGCAGAAGTCAGTACTGCTGCGTTTTATAAGGGTGGCACGGTGGCTCAGTGGTGTCGCACTGTGGCCTCACAGCAGGAAGGTCTCTGGTTCGAGTCCCGGCTGGGTCAGTTGGTGTGTCTGTGTGGAGTTTGCATGTTCTCCCCGTGTTGGTGTGGGTTTCCTCCGGGTGTCCGGTTTCCCACAGTCCAATCACATGCGCTATAGAGGAACTGATCAACTACACTGGCCTAGTGTATGAGTGTGTGTGTATGGGTGTTTCCCAGTATTTGGTTGCAGCTGGAGGGGCATCCGCTGTGTAAAACATATGCTGGAATAGTTGGTGGTTCATTCTGCTGTGGAGACCCCTGATGAGTAAAGGGATGAATGAATACACTTCATTAAACATGTACACACAGACATCACCTATATGCTTTAAAACTGCAGGTTAATAATGTCTGGATATAATAACTTATATTTGATTGTAATATAATAACGCCACCTTTTGTAAAGCTGCTATACTTATAGACTTTAATTGAATGATTCAGTGATCAAGAAGTGTTTATT